TCTGCAACAGTCCAATTCTTGACTCCCCTTCCCCTTGCACCCCCGTCCCCCCCTATCTGCTCGCCCTTAACCCTCTCCGCCCTCTCTCCCACTCTTGCCCTCCCAACCCACCCACCCGCTCGAGTCCAACCCTTCGGCCACACTACCTCCCACCCCTCCTTCCCCTTTCCCTCCTTCACGTCCCATCCCACCCCTCCCACCCTCCCTCCCTCAGTCCCCATCTCACCCCAACCTCCCTTAGCCTCCCAACCCACCCCTCCCTAACCCCCCCCCACCCCCTCAGCCATGTGGGCTTACAGAAGTGGCTTGATTGTTTCAACAGCATAATGGCGGTACACGACCAGTGCATCCTCTACAACCCAGGATACAGCACATTATGTAGCTCCCTTCCCGGGAATCGCCACATATGACCGCCATTACATAAAAAGGCAGATAATTACCCATCTTAAAATTAATCATATATAAAAAAAAGAAAGACCTTCATTTATATATTGGCTTCTATTTTCCCCCCACAAGTCGACAATTTTTTAAAAATCAGGTTCTGATAAGGAAAATAATTTCGCACATCTTAAAATTAATAATAAAAGACATTACATACACATTTTTTGCCTAAATTTCTAGAACGAGTAAACATTTTCCAAGGCCAAGAAATTAAGGAATATGTCCATGGCACAATTTTGCTGGGTACTGGTCTTTGCATGAAAATATCCACATACGAAAGAAAAAAAACTTATCAAAACACCAAAACAAAAAAATGTCCACATACACATACACACAAACATCCATACATATACATACACACACAAACATCCATACATATACATACACACACAAACATCCATACATATACATACACACAACAAACATCCATACATATACATCACACACAAAACATCCATACATATACACACACACACAAACATCCATACATAATCATAACACACACAAATCCATACATATACATACACACACAATACATCCAACATATACATACACATACAAAACATCCATACATATACACACACACAAACATCCATACATACACACACAAACATCCATACATACACACAAACATCCATACACACACAAACACACACAAACATCCATACACACACACACAAAATCCATCATACACACACAAACATCCATACATACACACAAACATCCATACATACACACAAACATCCATACATACACACAAACATCCATACATACACACACACAAACATCCATACATACACACACAAACACAAATACACACGAGACCATCTAAAAATATCCCTGAACTCCCATGCCTCCCTCTCCTATAAAGTGTCCCTTCTTTCTTTAAGCTCGCCTTGCACCATCTATGTAGATTTGTGCAACTTCCGGGACGAGGAGGAGGACAGTACATGCCTTGTCCTTCGGCAGCAAGAGCGACGCCCGCACGAGGTCCTGCTCTGCCTGGCGAGATGCCCCCATGTGCTCTCGTGCATTCGCTTGCTCACTTGGAACATTCGCTCGCCTTCTATCTCCTGTCTACTTCGATGGTGGATTAGGGTTTGTTTTGTAGGACAAGCACCTCGGATTCAAGTTGGTTATTTAAAAAATCTAAAAAACATGGATTCCCTTAAAGATTTTCCAGACTGAACCGTTTATATTATCTCTATTCTCCCTTATTGTACTTCTCTTCCTAGCCCTATACACGTATACGGGACATACCTTCCTAAATCTCTCTCCATCCCTTTCTTTCATATATACGCGTACATACAAAAAAAAGACCTTCCTCGCCTCTTCTTCACTCTTTCTGGAACATTTGCACAAGAGACTCATAAGCAAACGCACATCTCTCGTATCCCTCTTCTCGACCCTTATCACATACATATTCTCTCTCTCTCTCTCTCTCTCTCTCTCTCTCTCTCTCTCTCTCTCTCAGGTGTCTTCTCCGTCTGGGCCTTACCTTTGGTTCTGGGGCTGCTTGGGTCTGGCCGCTGCAGAGTCGTAGGAAGCCAGGAGCTGACGCAGGCTTTGGTCAACGTCACTCATGTGCTACGTCGTTAGCGAGCTGGACTCATGACAGAGCAGGACGTCGAAAAAAAACGAAGAGGACTTGGTGGGGCAGGCAGACGCGCGCGCGCTCGCTCACTCGCACGCACGCACGCACACACCACCGCCGTCGCCGCCGCCTCCTTCCTCTCCTCGCTGCCTTGTCTTCCCGCAGCCGCAGCCGCTCCTCCCTGACCGCAACTGCTGGCGTCCTCCTCCTCCCTCTCGCGCTCTCGTATGCGGGGGCTTCTCGCTCTTCCTCGGCGCACTTCTCTCTTCTCTTCTCTCTTCTCTCTCCTCCTCACGCTCTCCCTCACTTCCTTGCCGTCGTCAGAGATACCTCATCACGCCTGAAAGAGATAAAGAGATGATATGATAAGGTCACTATCTTTACATACCAAGCCAAAATCTTAGCACATGCAGCAAACAAAGAAAATTAAGAATAATATCAAAATCGAGAGAACAACCAAAAGAGGATAAAGAAAGAACCGTTGAAGGAAGGAGAAAGAGGAGAAGACCTCTCGAGAAGTGTGGGATGACATTGAGAAGAGAACGAGAGAGGAGAATGAAGGAGGCAAGGGGGAGGGAGAGATAGCAGAGGACACGCCGTTTAACAGCTAAATAGGACGGTCTAACGAAGTAAATAAAAGGACTGGAGGAGAGAGAGAGAGAGAGAGAGAGAGAGAGAGAGAGAGGAGAGAGAGGAGAAGAGAGAGAGAGAGAGAGAGAGAGAGAGAGAGAGAGAAGTGGAGGGGAGAAAAGCTTAAGAAAAAAGAACGAACTAAGGAGAAAGGCAATACTAGACGGGAAGATGTGGACCGAAGAAAAAAAGTACTCGAATCTTCGTAACAGTACAAAGAAAACGTGACCAGAAATTCATTCCCCGTCCCATCCCTTGCAACACAAAACGCACAAGACCCCAAAACAAACACATTCATGAGGAACATCAACAAAAGGTCTGTGTCGGGGCGAGAAAGCCCCAGGAGACGAGGAGCAACAGGCGGTGGTGGAGGCGGCGGCGGCGGCTTTGGGCGGGAGTAACCTAGAGGAAGTGGAAGGGGGGGTGTGAGGAGGAGGAGGAGGGAAGTAGTGGGAGAGGGAGGGAGGGAAGTAGTGAGGAGGAGGAGGGAGGGAGGGAGGGGAAGGTAGTGAGGAGGAGAGGGGGGAGAATGGGCTGGGAGGAAGGGAGGGTGGACAGCGGGATAGGGAGGAGGAGGGAGGGTGGGGAGGGAGGCGTCAGAAAGGTTGGGTAGCTAGTGGATGGATGTAGCGGGCCAGCACCACCACCCCACCCACATGGCCCCGCTCGCTCGCCCGGCCGCCCGCCCGCCAGCCCATCTCAGGATGACCTGCCAAATCCTAAGCAAGTCTAGAGCACACTAATTCATCCAAGAAAAGACCAACATTCATACTAGAAAAAGTAACAGTCTTAACAGGAAATTATATATACATGTATATCCCCAAGATATAAGGAACGGATATTCGCAAAAGTTAGAATCCCTCAAAATTCTACAGAAAAAGTCCTACACCACCGCCACCTAGCGGCGACAGATGGCAGCACCGACCCGAAAGCGGCCATCCATCCCTCCCCTTCACCCCCTCTCCGCCATCCTACCTCCCTTCACACCCCTCTTGCCATCCTACCTCTCCCTCTCCCCCTATCAACCCTCCCTCCCTTTTTCCACCCCAAACCCTCCCCCTCCCGCTCCTCCTACACCCCGTCCTCCCCCTCTTCACAGACAAGGACTCGCCCACGACCACAACCTCAGCCGTCCTCCTCCTCCTCCTTCCTAGGCCCAACGAGGCTCCTTAGCCCACAGGAGTGTCTTGACCCCCTCACAAGGCCTCTTCCTCGCGCACTGCCTCACGGTGCGTGAACGATCCAAATTTCCTTTTTTTCTTCCTTTTTCGTTTGTTCTTGGTCACTTGCATTCAAGAAGGGTGGTTCACTCGTTTCCATTCGTCTCCAAATCGCACGAACTGAACCCGGATGCACTTGTCGTTCTAGCCGGCTGTTCCTCCTCCAATATTAATTCAAAAGCGAGCCCGTTTCAGCTCCATTGTCTTCACACATTCACCGAATTTAAAAATAAATGGTCACTACTTCACATAACACAACACTTATGAAGTTTAAGCCGATTAATTCAAAATTCCGATCTTGGAGACACTCAAAGAGTCAAGACACTGCCGGCTTCACTTTCCAAAGATGATTAATTGAAGTTTAATCACACCTGCACGGCCATTCGGGACACCACTGGTTAATGGAACTCGCCGGCAAGCAGTTCCTCGATTTAAGATTTAAACAAAAAATCTGCAAATCGCACAACTGGAATCCTTGCCGATTCGCGTGTAGAAGGACCGTGGAATTCCCACTTAAACAAGAACAAAAAATGGAAAGCTCGAAAAAACTTTTTGAAATGGAATCGATTCATACAGAGCGGCACTTTCAGCACATTTCCCACAAAAACGTTGGCTGAGCTTTTCCTTTGTCTAGCTCCTTCCTCCTCCTCCTCCCGTTCGCTAACCTCGCCCTTGTTGGAGAAGGCTTCCCACATTTACACTTTTCTTCTCTTATTATTTTATAAGAAATTGTATTCACCCTTGGTAGCCATACACGAGCACAAAGAAAGGACACACACAAGCACACGTACACGACACAGTCCAGGGCGGTACTGTGAGCTCTCGTTGCAAAAGCCGACGAACCACTTTGCTCTTCTTGTTCCTCTTGCCAATTTATAAAGCCGGAATTTCAACGCAACACAAGAGAATAATCTCCTTTTTAAGGGGCAGGAAGAAGGGGGGGGGCGGCGAGAAACAAGTGAAGCGTGTTTCCCTCCAAAGGCGAGGAGCAAGGGGAGAGGGAAGGGAATTGCGAATGGAGGGAACAAGATTAAATAAAGGAGGGTAAGAAAACGGACGGAATAAAGGGGGGGTTAAGGGAGGGTTCGAGGAAGATCCGTCGCAGCGCCGCAATGCTTACCTGTTTCGACCTCGGCTCACCCTCGAGAAGTGCGCCCGGGACTCGCTCGGGGGAGGAACGCGCTCCTCCTAGGCCCGGTTGCCAACGTTGGTATTCCGCTTGGGAGGGAGGACTCTCTTATTTTATCCTATTGCCAAACTACTCCCTATTTTATATTTCTCTCAACCATTAGATTATTAAAAAAGCTTTATACTGAAATACTCTAGGATTAAAAGAACGCGGTGAAAAAGCGAAGAAAAATAACCAAAAATTCGATATCCCCGCGTCAGGCAACTGAGGCGAACCGCTCCGAACTACACTGGGGGAGGAGCGCGCGCGACCAATCAGCGAGCTCCGAAAGGGCGACCACCCTGTCTACATCGCTTGGGGAGGGGGAGGGACGGGGCCGTGGGGAAGGAGGGGGAGGGACCGGGTACACCGAGAGGGGGGGAAGGGGACAGAGAGGGAGGGGGAGGTGAATGAAATTGCCCCGACTCTTGCCAGCCAAAGTTCAGTGTTCATCAGGCGTTATATATTTTCTTTCTATTTTACAAATCTCTTTCCGCTGCGTCTTTCCTCATGATTGAATTAGCGAATCAAAGCGAAAAACAAGGGCCTCACCGACAGCCGAGGCGGAAAGGAGGCCCAGCAACAGCGAAAGAGCAACGGCCCGTTTCATTAACTCGTAGTAAATACGGTATCCGGTAATGATAAATTCCAGAGGACGAGGCTTGTCTGCTGTCTACGAACCCACGAAACTTCACGCAGGCCCTGTGGATGCGAAAAGGAAATAGCTCCGAGAGATTTCTTACCAGACAACAACCACCTCTGAGATCGGTCTCCTGGGCTAAAATAAACTTGAAGAACGTTTTTGAAATTCGGAAGGTTTTGCTCCTCGATTTGAATTGATGGTTGAAGAGAGACTCGTGTAATTCGGTATTATTTACACGATTTGTATGAACGGTTCACGAAGGTATTACTTCTTGTGGTTATATCCTCTACGACCAATTAACGGCAAAATACCCTTCACGTCAGTCAGTTGAAGACTGTTGAGACGTTCAACCCATCAGCAAGAGGCATTTCCGTCCCGGAGCCAAACGGGGGAAATAACGAATATCGACGACCGCACCAAGAAAATATTTAGAGAGGAGAAGGACGAAGTACGAGACAGACACGAGGCAGCGACGAAGATGGCGAGAGAGAGAGAGATGACTCATTTCTAGACGCTCGTCTGCTTCTTCTCTTAACCACATTTTTCCGTCTGTGCTGTTTCCTTTTTTTCGTAGTTATTTAATCAGCGAGGAGCCACCGAGTTTTAACGTGTAGGATGTCAGCACAGTGATTAAAACCTTTCGGCCCACTAATGTCTTCAGGATGACGTCATCGGTGGTTCAAAACTTTAAACAGGGTCATTTTAAAACTTCTTTTATCATCTTATCCCGTTTTTATCAGCACTACTAGTTCTTCCCCATCTTGCAGCATGTAAACACACTACGAACACAATAACCACAAACACATAAATAAATAAACAGAAGTAAAAACACACAAAAAAACACTAACCACACACGTATCCAAATTGGCTCCTCGGGGATTGACCAACACACAAAATCGCTATGTAACTTATTCGACTCTCCACTCTCGACTGATTGCCGTTTCGCCTCTGATTGCTGCCGTGATCGATGCGATTGGGTTGATATAATTCCCTTTCAACCCTTTCCCCCTTCCCCCTCCCCCCCCCAAAACCGCCGTTCCCCATCCCTTCGCAACCCTCCCTTCCCCTCCTCCCCCCGTCCCCCGGCCCATAGCATGTTCACAACCCGTATGTTGAAGCTTTGGACGAGATTGTGTGAGGGTGATGTTCATTACTGTAATACTATTTATTGTTGCTGGAAGTATTATAATTGGTATTATCATTATTATAGTATCATGATCATTATCACTATTATTGTTAGCATTACTATTACCATTATTATTATTATTATTGATATTATTATCATTATGATTATCATTATCATTATTACTATGATTATCATTATCATTATCATTACTATGATTATCATTATCATTATTACTATGATTATCATTATCATCATTATTACTATGATTATCATTATCATTATTACTATTATCATTATCATTATTACTATTATCATTATCATTATTACTATGGTTATCATTATCATTATTACTATGATATCATTATCATTATTATTATGATTATCATTATCATTATCATTATTACTATGATTATCATTATCATTATTTACTATGATTATCATTATCATTATCATTATTACTATGATTATCATTATCATTATTACTATGGTTATCATTATCATTATTACTATGATTATCATTATCATTATTACTATGGTTATCATTATCATTATTACTATGATTATCATTATCATTATCATTATTACTATGATTATCATTATCATTATCATTATTACTATGATTATCATTATCATCATTATCATTATTACTATGACTATCATTATCATTATTACTATGGTTTATCATTATCATTATCATTACTATGATTATCATTATCATTACTATGATTATCATTATCATTACTATGATTATCATTATCATTACTATGATTATCATTTTCATTATTACTATGATTATCATTATCATTATTAATATGGTTATCATTATCATTATCATTATTACTATGATTATCATTATTATCATTATTACTATGATTATCATTATCATTATCATTATTACTATGATTATCATTATCATTATCATTATTACTATGATTATCATTATCATTATCATTATTACTATGATTATCATTATCTTTATCATTATTACTATGATTATCATTATCATTATCATTATTACTATGATTATGATTATCATTATCATTATCATTATTACTATGATTATCATTATCTTTATCATTATTACTATGATTATCATTATCATTATCATTATTACTATGATTATCATTATCATTATCATTATTACTATGATTATTATCATTATCATTATTACTATGATTATCATTATTACTATGATTATCATTATTACTATGATTATCATTATCATTATTACTATAATTATCATGATTATCATTATCATTATTACTATGATTATCATTATCATTATCATTATTACCATGATTATCATTATCATTATCATTATTACTATGATTATTATCATTATCGTTATTACTATGATTATCATTATTATCACTATGATTATCATTATTATCACTATGATTATCATTATTATCACTATGATTATCATTATTACTATGATTATCATTATCATTATCATTATTACTATGATTATCATGATGATTATCATTATCATTATTACTATGATTATCATGATGATTATCATTATCATTATTACTATGATTAACATGATGATTATCATTATCATTATTACTATGATTATCATGATGATTATCATTATCATTATTACTATGATTATCATGATGATTATCATTATCATTATTACTATGATTATCATGATGATTATCATTATCATTATTACTATGATTATCATGATGATTATCATTATCATTATTACTATGATTATCATGATGATTATCATTATAATTATTGTTATTGTTATCATTATTATCATAATTATCATCATTGCCATTATTATTATCATCATTATTACCATCATTATTATTACCATCATTATTATTACCATCATTATTATTACCATTATTATTATTACCATCATTATTATTACCATTATTATTATTACCATTATTATTATTGTCATTATTATTATCGTCATTATTATTATCGTCATTATTACTGCCATTATTATTATAATTATTACCATTATTATTATAATTATTACCATTATTATTATAATTATTACCATTATTAATACCATCATTATTATCATTATTATTACCATTATTATTATCATTATTATTGCCATTATTATCATTATTATTATCATCTTTATTATTATTATTATCATTGTTGTTGATGGTCGTTCTAGTATAGTTATAATAACTTATTAACCACTCTATATTTCTCCTTGTCTATCCCCCACAACTCCCCCATCCCCTCCCCCTCCTCCTCCTCCCACCCCAGTCGCGAATCAAAACCAGTCAGTCAGAATTACATCGTTATCCTTCCATTTCCCATTCTATTCTTTATTCTTTTTTTTTCTTTGCGCATCGACGCTGACCCATGGGAGTTCTTCCGAAGCGTGACGTCATCGGTTGCGTTCGTAGGGTCGTAATTCATCCGAAATTCTGGGAGTTTTCGTCCGTATGTTATCTATTAGAGTGTGTATTTCAACGCGACAGTAGGTGGTTTGCGTTGAATGGTCTCGTTTGGTTATTAGCGTTGGGAAGAAAGAGTCTGTAGAGTCTTTTTAATGTGTGTTTGTAAGGTGTGTGTGTGTGTGTGTGTGTGTGTGTGTGTGTGTGTGTGTGTGTGTGTGTGTGTGTGTGTGTGTGTGTGTGTGTGTGTGTGTGTGAGCTGTAGAGCTGTAGAGTCTTTTTAATGTGTGTTTGTAAGGTGTGTGTTTGTGTGTGTGTGTGTGTGTGTGTGTGTGTGTGTGTGTGTGTGTGTGTGTGTGTGTGTGTGTGTGTGTGTGTGTGTGTGTGTGTGTGTGAGCTGTAGAGCTGTAGAGTCTTTTTAATGCGCGTTTGTAAGGTGTGTGTGTGTGTTGTGTGTGTGTGTGTGTGTGTGTGTGTGTGTGTGTGTGTGTGTGTGTGTGTGTGTGTGTGTGTGTGTGTGTGCTTCATTATGGCAATGTACTTGTAGTGAAAAAAATATGTCTGTTCTTGGCAATAAACTTTTTTCTACAAGTTAATTTATTGTAGTTAGTACATTTACCATAAATCAATGAAAAGATTCGTACCCATATCAATAAAACCTAAACAAAATAAAGCGATATGTCATATTTTCTTAGATATATTTGAAGAAGAATATATTCTCATTTCTTCAGTTAACAACCGTGTATAGGCAACTCAACATTTTTAAATAGTTAGGCTGCTATGTTTTTTTTTTTCATTCTTAATCTCAAACGTAATCTAAAACCACATGTACTGGTTTTAAAAATGCGTCAATCTCCAGAGCCGTTTAAAAAAGAGCTTTGGCATTGAAGTACATAATTTACCATTAACTTTTAACTACCTCT